TATGTAAAATCTTAAAATGTTAAAATATATTATATAAAATTTATAGAATTATAGCTTTAAAAAAACCGATTTTTTTAATAATTATTTTCTGTTTTTTTTTATTATTATTATTTTTAATATTTTCTTTTTAAAACTTTCTGATAAACTAATAAATTTTTAAAAGAGAATTTTTGATAAACAGAATTCCACGGTAACAACTCATGCATATAGCATTAATTTAGTATTAATCAATACAGAATTCCCATTAGAATGTTTATGCTAGCTGAATACTAATTGTGAGTAAAAATTGTAGTTACACTGAATAACTTAAAAAAAGATTTTTCTTTCTTTTATATTTGTTGTTTTTTTTATAATTTTAAAGTAAAATAAACTAATATATAAATTTTTAGAAGAAAATTTTACTATTTTAAGGTATCATATCGGTTAATTTTTCGGTTGAAATAATGGGTTTAAATATGTTTCACCCCCATTAAAAAATACCTTTTTTTTAATTCGATTTTTAAGAAAATTAAAGAAGAATTTATTGATATTTTAAAGAAATTTTGTATGATTTTATGGTTTTTTTTAACATTTCTAATAATAATATAAAAATTACCAATCATTATTTTGTAGGAAAAAAAAATTCAGTTCTTTAAGTATTCATTTTATTAGTTTTTTTTTCCCAAGTTTTCCTCATGTCAACTCGTACTTAATAAGAATGCATGAAAAAATTGAGGGAAAAGAAAAGAACTTAACGATTGTAATTTATAAAATGATATTTTTGCCTCTTTTTTTTTCTTGGTGAGGGGGTGGATAGAAACAATCTGAACAATCCATCAAGAGAAAGCGACTGCTGAAGAGGAGTAATTGTCTACTCTCGAATCGAAGCTATAATTCGGGTTACAGCAGCAAAGAACAGTAGAAAACACAAGTCCCTTGCCCCATTTCAGTAATTACTTTGACCCCTTGTGGACCATGAACCAAGATTGGCTGCAGATAATGACAACTTGGGTGTGAGAAAAGAAAATCAAAGGACGTTAACTGCGACATAAGTTTCGCCTTGTTTCTGTCTAACTTTCTCAAATAGCAAACAGCTACGGTGTGATATTTAGTGACGTCTTCTTCTAAACAATTCTTTTCCACATCTTCCTCTTCTTCTTCTACTCCCCCTTTTTCTTCTAGATAATTTTTTGTCACCTCTTCAATCTAGATAATTCTTTTCCACGTCTTCTTCTAGATAATTCTTTGCCACTTCTTCTAAATAATTCTTTTCCACGTCTTCTACATTATCTAGAAGAAGTGGCAAAGAATTATCTTTGCCATGTCTTCCTATAGATAATTCTTTGCCATGTCTTGTTCTAGATAATTCTTTGCCACGTCTTCTTCTAAATAATTCTTTTCCACGTCTTCTACATAATTCTTTGCCACTTCTTCTAGATAATCTTTGCCACGTCTTCTTATAGATAATCTTTGCCACTTCTTCTAGATAATCTTTGCCACGTCTTCTTATAGATAATCTTTGCCACTTCTTCTAGATAATCTTTGCCACGTCTTCTTATAGATAATCTTTGCCACGTCTTCCTATAGATAATTCTTTGCCATGTCTTGTTCTAGATAATTCTTTTCCACGTCTTCTACATAATTCTTTGCCACTTCTAGATAATCTTTGCCACTTCTTCTTATAGATAATTCTTTTCCACGTCTTGTTCTAGATAATTCTTTGCCACGTCTTTTCTACATTTAAAATGTTAACGTTTGGGTAACGTAATGCTCTCTTAAACAATTGAATTATGCGGTTTAAAATTTTGTTACGTCCTTTTATTCAATTAAAAGGGGTCGATTTGGCGGCGATCTCTACAAATCTTCGTTTGTAGAATCTTCTCGTTATCGTTTCAAAAGTTTACTTTTGCTTCAGAAGGCAAAATAAAATTGTAAAATTTTCAATTTTAATGGTTACAAGTGAACGAGTTGAAACTGCAAATATTTAGAAGAGTGTAAAACATTATAGTAATAAAATGAAGTAACGCGATAATTAAGCAGCGTAGAAATGAGTTTGTATGTTTACAGCGTGTGTAAGTATGCTTAAATTTATTTTCAAACTAAAATTTAAAGTTTTAAGAAGATTTAAATACAATATAAACAATTTAAACATGCGTTACAAATTAGCGAGTAATCTAAAACGTACAAATAGAATACGAAGTAGAGAAAGGAACGTTGTCGTGTTTTACACCGTAACAATGGTTTAAAACATAAAATTTACAATATATAAAACGTAAATAAATGACTTGTATCAACTCCTAATCGAGATTTTCAATATATTGCCATAATTAATTACACCAAAGTTGTGCGCATTATACGACGATAACGCGCTTAAAATACGATTTATATAAAAAAAAATACGAGCTAAATACATGTACACAATTTAAAATATGAAAACAGAGAATTTAAAATTGAAAACAAATGTAACATTTGTAATAAAACTATAAAACAGAGTAATGGAAAACTTCACAGTAAACAGTGTACTGTAAAAAAAGGGTAATATAACATCAAAATTAAATTATGAAATTGCTCATAAAGAATGAAA